GATTACAATTTGATCTTTGCATTTGATTCGAAGATTGTTCAAGTTGTTATCAGTCAATGATTTAGGTGTTAATCCCGCCTGATGGATAAACCTATCACCCGGTGACGAATAACACTATCAGCAAGGAATATACTGAATCAAATGATCTGAATATGAGAAATCAAGTTGATGTAATGCTTTGGCATGTGAACGGCATTAATAATGGATGAGCAATTTGTCCGATAAGTATCATGATGCAAAAATGGTGTCCATTAAATCGTATTAGCCATTTCATGCTCATGTGGTTAATCGTATGAAATTTTATGACAGCACTTACTTCATTTTACTGTTTTGTTTATGTTTACACATTAAAGTGAAAATTTTATCTTTCTTAATATCATTATCTAACATATCAATCAAAAGGATAACGGCGATAAATAATACCTGATAATATGCAATAACAAACATAATTAATAACTACAATGACAATGAATAATAAAAATAGTGATAATGATGGATATGAAACGATATTCACAAATAAATCTCAAACAACATCAGGGCAATGAACCAACTATTTCCAGGAATTACTCAAATTCTGAAAGTATAAATTCCGCTCCTCGGCAGCCGAAAATGTCATCAGTCGCCCTTTGCTGTCGTACAGTCGCACGATGGCTGGGTTTATGCGATTATCAGCGAATATCACATGGCCTCGAGGTCCGTTCGAACCTTTAATTGTTATTATCATTATTATGTTTGTCGTTATTGCCATACTCGATATCGTCATTGCTATTCTAACATGTATCTCATCGTTTTAAAAATGAGGCTCATTCAAAACTTTTATCTGACCGAAGAAATCTCGAATTGCGATTAAAATTTTAACATAAGAACACACCAAGTGAGTATTTTTTCGTGCTAATATTTCCTAACTTCTATTTTTCTCAGTTTTCTTCTTTCTAGAAAATGCAATTCAACAGTGCGATATGATCGATCGATCACGCTCGATCAGCTATCAAACATCAGCAATACAGTTGCAATTAGGTAATACTTTCGTGCGTTGTGGTGTTTATCATGAAAATTTAGAACCAAATTCAGCGCAACATTAGTGAATGCAATGAAAGGATTCACCTACCGTCTGCATTTGATTCCATACGTGATCGTCCCAAACAACACGAAAAAATATGCTTGAAACGCTTTCTCAAAGCATCATGAAACATGATTCGCACCAATGGTTCGATTAACGCGAACAATATAGCGCTGATATTGTAAACCTGCAAAAATTCTTCTTTCTACAACTTAAGCCAATTTTTACATCGAACAAAAATTTCAA